GAATTTTAAAATAATCCTGTATAATAGGAAGCAGCAGTCAAAGAAGTACATGCAGCTTTGTTGAACAGAAAACTTGTCTCTTTGTCCCCATCTTTCATGGGCTGCAGTATGAATCAATGTATTCAAAATCAAGGGCTTCTAGGCCTTTCTTCCCCCTCTTCTATTTCCATTGCAAATAAGTCCTGCTGAAAAAAAAATCATAGCTTAGTTGCTGGGGAGAAAAGTGTCTAGACCAGGTTGTGAATTATTTAAACTTCTGTGGATTGTGGCAGAAAAAATGCATGGTGCTGGGTCTTGCCTGTGTCTAACTAATCCCAACTGCTGTTTGTTGAGGTTTGGGCTGTTTTGCTTTCCAAGACACTGTAATGGAATAGGTTAATTGAGGACTGTGCTTGTAAGTTCAAACCTTAGCTGGCAGGGCAAATTGGTTGTAATACCATATCTAGAGTGGTTTGGTTGTGCTTTTGAATTTTGTCTCTGGAAAGTGTTTGGTATTCTGATGAATATTGATTAGTCAGCATGTACGTGTATATGTTTGAAGTCTTAAAAATAATCTTGCTTCAATGCTAATTAATTTCCTAGAGCCACGTTTCTGAAATAGACTGAAGGCCACGTGGTAGAAGTGAAGTGCATCCTCTGCTTGGGGACAGTGACCTGGAATGACCTGGTATTCTCCAGGATGGGCATGTGCACATAGCCAGTTTCCTTGCAGCAGCTGCTGCCATGCAGTATCGTCATACACAGCTTACCTCAAGACAAATGACTTAAATTCCTGTACATAGAGTAAAACTATTGCATGCACTTATCTTAGCATCACATTCTCTTCTGGCCGGGCTGGCCTGTCTGTGTGGCAGAAGCACAAACAGTGGAATCCTGCTCTGCAGATGGGCTGGTGCTGTTGGCAGAGCTGTAAGTTACACACTAAGATGTCTTTTGCTTCAGGTTGCCATAGGTATGTTTAACATGTAGCACTGGGATACAACACATGAGTTTGGTTGTGGGTTCTTGCCGTTGCTTTTCTTTGATCTCTTCCTCAGCTTGTCAGGTAGCTCTGATGCTCCTGGGTCATGGGATTTTAGCAGCTGCAGGCTAGCACTGTTGGTGAAAGTGATGACCCTGAATTCTTGCACCTATTTCCTGGTTGTCTAAATTGATCCAAGTATAGGAAGGTTGAAATCTGTGTAAAATGGAAAGGAGTGGTGCATTGTTCGTACTTGGAAGGTGGAGCACTGCTATTTGGTGAGCTAGTTTATGAATCATAGAAAAGCCAGCTTAGTCTCCTCCCTAGTCCATGTGCAGTCTCCATCTGTGCACTGAGGCTTTCAAGACCAAGCTGGGTAACACCCTGAGCTGGCCCTTCTTTGTGTAGCAAGTCAGACCATGTGCCTTCAAGGATTCCTTCCAGCATGAATATTCATCCCATTTATGTTGCTGAGACTCTGATACCATGTGTCCATGTGCACTTGGATGTTCCAGTTCTGGTAATAATAGCACCTCAGAGCATTGGAGCTATATGATATCAATGTCTTCCCTTGGCAAGGAATGTGAAAATAGATGAAAGTGGAAATACGCCTTCATAAAATTTCCCCTTTCAGATTTCCATATGAGAGCAGTGCATTTCAACTCAAGGAAGAGATTACTTCAGTGGTACATCTTACAGACCTTAAGGATTTGGGTTTTTTCTTACATAAATGCAGCTTAGATTTGGGGGCAGGGAAGAAGGGGCAAAGTGAAGAGCCAGAAGTGAATAATTGGGAGAACTAGACAAGGTGAAGGGAAGCTTTGCCTTTATGCAGGAGAGAAAAGCAGCATTTCTATACGTAGAAAGTTCTTTCTCTGAAGTGGGTAGAATTTGTTCTTTTAAAGAAGGATAATCTGGAAAAAAGATCTCAAAATCTTGAGCCTGGGCCATACTGTATTAGAAAACTGTCTGCAATGTATGATACACTATTACAGTATATAGGTATGTAGCTATTTAAATTTGGGCACCTGATTCATATGAGAAAAATCTTAGTATAGATAAACTTTAAGTTGACATTCTCTTACCACAGCTAATTGTGAAAAATACCTGGGTCCCTTTACCTTAACCAGCTAACAAGAAAGCATGTAGCCTTATGATTTACTTGGAAGGTAATTGTATCTTGGCAATAGCTCTACTTTTCTTGCTAAACCCAGTGTGGAAGTAACATGCACTTTAGTGGTTTCTGACACATTGTAGAAACTGAGTTGAATTTAAATTGTGTGTTGTGCTACAAAGTCTTTTCTGCGCTGGTAACTGGAGAATGGACAAGAGTTAGTGGAATTTGTGCTGGTGAGCTTGTCAAGTCTTACCCAACTGCATCCTAACCAAATCTTATTGTTGGGGCTTTGTACTGTGGGAACTGAATTGGTGGCTGCAAGAGTAGGTAACTTCTTCTGTTCTTCCCCTTGTATACTGGATTTGCAGTCTGCTTGCTCTGATTTTTCTTTTCATTGCATTTCTGTGGTAGGGAAGAATAGCCCTGTTTGGATTCTGTAGAAGATGTTGTACTGGAATGGCATCAGGTCAGTGCATTCAGTAATAGAGAGAACCATGACTAATGTCGCATCATGTGGGTCATTTTTCCTTCCAGCCCTTTACAATTAGTGCAGTGTAGCACAGTATCTGTTTCAGCACACTGTGTATTGCTGGATACTTCCTGTGGCAAGAATCCTTCTGGAGATGCTCCTTCCCCCATCTCTGATCAGCCCCAGCTCTGTTTTTCTGACTTGCATGGATGGGCATGTTTGTTGTCAGTATCTGATGCTGGCAGAGGCTACTTGCTTTCCTCCCCCATGTCAGAGCTTAGAGATAGTAACTCCTTGCAGTGGGCTGTAGCATGTATGTAAATGGTTTTTTATCAGCCTGTTCTATCTGTGTGACATCTCCCACAATAAACGCCCCTGTACAGACTGTGTTAGGATGGCTCTTGCAGTTTGAATAAATGCTGCTTGTATATGAATGTCAGTGGATTGTACTGCATTTTTTTTGCAGGGTCCTCAGCTTACTTTGCACTTAAGGGGAATGGCTCTGAAATGCAAACTTCTTAAAATTTATTTTCACTTAAGGGAATTGCTAGAAATTCAGAGGTAGATAAAACTGAGACAGATGTAAGAAGAATATTTGAAGGTTATTTGTTCTGACTGTAGCGCTGGATACTTTTGGTTTATTCTTTTGCTGTAGAGAGAGTTAATGAGCATTTTTTCCCTTCACTCATTACAAAGTTACAGGGTTGGAAAAGGGAAGCTTCAAAATAATAGGAAAACAATCCATGATATCAAGACAGAGACTTCATAGATGAAGTAAAAACAGAATCTGTTATATCTGGATGCTGTACAAGGTGTTTGTCAGAAGGAAGAAGAAAACACATATTGGGCATTAGTTAAAAGCAGCAAAATGATTGTCATCCCTGTCCCACACACCCTGTCAGTTTGAAGTAAATTCAGTCCTCCTGTTTTACTCTGGTCTGTATTTTCAGAGGTGAAAGGTACGAATGTGTGTTGCTCCAAGATACAGATCTTTGAGGGAACACGCCGTGTCCTTCTGACCTGGGAGAGGACAGAAGGAGTGGGAAGCCACCTCCTGAGCTTGAACCAGGGAGACCTTTTCCCAACCCACTGGAATAACTGCTTGTGTCTGGCTCAAATGTAAGAGATGAGATAGGGAAACTCCTCGCGGAGTAACCAAGGGGACAGAACAAATGTTGAAGGTTAGAAGTAAACAAAGCTGACTGCCTAGGAACCTCAGGCTCCTCCAGCATGAGGGCCAGACTGTATCATACATCATGGGGAAGCCTGGCTGCCTGTTGCTGCCTCACAGCAGGTTGTTGCCAAGACTCCTGGAATGAGCAGACTGAGGTGATGGTTGATGCCTGTGGTGGGTCCTCCCAAATCCATTGCCATATGCTGGAGCAGTTGAAATTACTTCATTGGAGAGCTGTCTGGACAGCTGAATTCTTTTCTTCTTTTGTCAGCTCTGGATCTATGTCAGGAACACTAGAATTTTGTATTGCATCTTACATATTTGTCATTGTTATTAGGGAATGTTCTATATAAAATTCATCAGAAAGCATGTGCTGAACTTTTTGCAACATGTGTTGGGCTACGAGATGTTGGTGCAGTTGTGATTGGTGAAGATCCAAGTTTTCAAGCAGTGATGTCTTGTAGAGATCTAGTGTGGCATAAGAACCTGTACCTATCAGAGTAAAACTGGTATATGGATGTGTAGCCTATCCAGTTAGATCTAAGGATAGGGTGTGATACCAGACAAGGGTCTGATAGCAGAAATTTTTAACATAGGGGCCTGTAGCTGTGCATCTTCAGTTAACACACTCTGTGTTTGTTGGTGGTGTTGGATAATGATACAAGAAAAGTTCAGTAGTACAAAACTGAGTTTTTTCCTTCCTTTGGAAAGGGAGTGATCTTGTGGTTAAGAGTCTCCTGTGCCTTGCCAAGAGCTTGCTGTGTGTCCGTGAGCAATCTGCATGTGGTCAAATTTTCCAAGAGAGGCCTCAGATTTTCCGACTTTGTTTCTGTATAATTTTCCAGTTAGGGATTTTTTTTTTTTTTTCCCTCAACACTGCTGCTTATTGAAAGCTTCATTTGAAGTAGCAGATGCCTAGAAATTATCACATTCAGTGCCAGGCTGGCACTGAATTGAAGCACCCAATATCTATAGCTATCGTTGGAAATACAGGCCATAATTTCTCTTTTTGCTGATTCCTACCAGAGGGATTGTGTGTCCTGTCTTCATAAAATATTTGAAAGGCAGGAGTGTGCAGTGGCACTGTGTGTTAGAGCAGCATGACAAAGATGCCTTGCATGTGTAGGACTTGTATTTTCATGGGGGTAGTGTGCTGAAAGTCCTCAAATCAAGAGAAACCACATGTGGAAAAGTCTTCTTATCAGCTGGTAAATTAAGAATAATATGGCCATACTGCTGTTTGTGGGCCTCAGTTAAAGAAGATGTTGCCATTTTGCAGGTTTGTCACTGGAGCGCTCAACCAACTCAATTGCCTCTCGTGCTCGACTGTGTGAAAGGGAGGAGGAAGTCACAGCTTGTTTTGAGAGAGCATGTGTTATTGCCCAGGTATACTTGCAGGACCTTGAGAAGGTAAGAAGAAATGTATTGTAATGTATGTAAGGGTATTGCCTGGTGGCCTGAGTGGAATTTCCAGGGGTTTGACAGCAAAAATAAAAAAATTGAGAAATATTAAGTGATCATAGCAGGGAGTCTGAGAACAAGTTGGAGAAGTGAGGTATCTCAGTAAAATCATTTGCAAAATGGCAGTTTAGCTGGTTTCTGGAGGTCTGGAAAGAAGTTCTGCCTGGGTGAAGCACCAAATACTTCAGATATGCACAAGTTGCATCTCAAGTTTAGCCCTTACTAAAGAGGAACTATGAACTTTGCAGGGCAAGTTCTTATGTGAAGGAACTTGTAACATTTTACATTCCTGCTGTGGAAATGATACTCAGCAGTGGCTATTGAGATCCCTAATGAGCTGAAAGAAATCTTTTTTGGGTCGGCCATAGCTGTTTAATTACCAGTGCTTCACCTTCTCCAGGTGAACCTTGAGGAATCCAGAATATTAGAACCTAGGTCCTCCATCCCTGGAAGTGTTCAAAGCCAGGCCAAGTAGGGCTTTGAGCTGCCTGGTACAGTGGAAGGTGTCCCTGCTCATGGCAGGAGGGTTGAAGCTAGATGATCTTTAAGGTCCCTTCCAAGATGCTGTGATTAGTAGCAAGTAGCTGCTTAGCCAGTGGTTGGTAGGATGGATACTGGGAGCCCTTCATTGAGCCATCAGATAATAGGTGCTGCTGATTTGCTGGGCACATGCAAACTTTGCCAAGCTGAGGACATATCACGTGCTTCTATGCCCTTCCTATGCCACACATTATGCTTGACATCAGCAGTACTGATAGCAATGCATTGTTACCTGTCCTGTAACTGAAAGGCCTTTGACCTTCTGAGCAGATATTTCTGCTCTTCCTGGTAGCAAAGCTGTGTTTCTGTTTCAGCTTTTGTTTTTTAATTTCATTGAAGCAGGAAAAAATAAGGTTAGTGCTTATAAAAAAATTAATTAAAAAAGTCAACTGAGAAGAGGCCTGTTCTGTTTCTCTGCAGAAAAAAAATGGGGCAGTCTTTAAATGGAAACTATTACTGTCCTTCCATTGTGGAAGGATGAGTTCCTGCTGGTGCTGGACACTAAATTTTTTTTACTGACAGCTTGGGTCTGCGAAGAAGGAAAAGGATCTGACCTGTAATTCATTCATTTAGACTCATAGAATCAGTAAGGTTGGAAAAGATCTCCTAATTTACTGAGGCCACCTATTAATTCAGCACTACCATTTTGCCACTAAACCATGTTGCCAGGTGCCAACACCATATGCTTTTTGAACATTTCCAAGGATGATGATTCCACTGCTTCCCTGAACAGCTTGTTCCAATGCTGGACCACTCTCTCAGTGAAGAAATATTTCCTTATTATTGCAACTTGAGGCCATTTCATCTTGTATTGTCACTTGTTACTTGGAAGCACACCAACCCCCCACCTCTCTACAACCTTCTTTCACATAGTTGTCTCTGGACACAGAGACAAAAATGCAGGATTGATGACAGACACAGTAGAAGTTCATAGTCCTCCTTCAGTCCTAGATGAAAACCCCTGTTTTGGAGAGGCAACTTTCAGCAATGGAAGAGGCTTGTTACCAGTAAGGAAGCAAAACCAAAAAAGATTTGATAGGACAAATAGAGGAAAGGTTAAGATTTTTCCATCAGGACTCCTGATGGCTTGCCAACTCTTAACAAATATTTATGTTATATTGAACTAGATAAACCTACTCAAACATTGTATTGCTCTTTCTGTGCAGTGTGCTGGGTCTTTTTAGCTTGTGTGGTATTTCCCAAGCTATTGGTGTTAATATGTAGCTTTCTGCTTACTTTAATAAAGTAAGTAATAATTAAGTAATAATGGAAAGTAATAATGGATGGTGTTTCAAAACACATATTGCATGCAGAATATCTCATGGAAGTCGTATAATTTATTTTAAAATAAATTTTATATATAATTTATATATAACATTTTTGAATAATATTTAATATAATGTTATTACATTCATAACATTTATATAACATTTATAACATTTTTGAATAGCTGATAAATGTAACTTTTAATTGTTGAAGATGTTACTGGCTCACAAGGACCTGGCTAGTTCTGATAGTTGTCTGTATTCCAAGATATTTCTTTTTTTCCCTCACAGACCTTAAACAACACACATTCAAGGAGTATCAAGGGCAGTAATGCGACTTACTCTGAGTTTGAACTTTCCTATTTTCTGGAAGCAGCTCTACAGAGTGCCTATGTGACTCAGTTAAAGAAAGGGTAGGTGGATTCAGATATTAATAACCTTAGATAATATCACATGTTTTGTTGCAGATGAAGACTAATTTTTTTATGTTCTGACTTTTGGCTGCTCACCTCAAATCTCCTCAGTGTCCTTCCCTTTCTTCTGTTTGTGCTTATCTGTCTTTCTTAAGAGTCTTAAGTGTCATTTTTCCAGACCTATAAGTAGGGTGGAGTAGAACAATATTCTTGTCTTGGCTCAGCTTTGCTCCCTCTGGAGACAAGGGGAGTTTGTAAAGAGAGAGTGGAGTTTACACTGCTGTGGCCCTTTAAAATTTTCAGCGCCTGGTTTAGAGTTCAGTAAAGTCTTACAGGTAGTTTCTTTCATTTATTTATTTGTTTGTTTGCCTAAGGTCTTAAATATCCCAATCAATGCCCCAAATCTGTGGTTTTTTTACTATGGAAAGTGTATGTGGGAACAGTGCCTCTGAAATACATCTCCCAGTGAACTTCAGAAGGGTAGGAGGAGTTAATATCTGCAAGTCTACAGAGAATTTTATGAGTCTACGGTGAAAAACCTTCTCAAGATCAGCAGAAAAGGCACAATGAATGCCCACTTCCAAAGGCCATTGGTGAGGACATGCTGTTTCCTAAACCAGGCTGTGTCTTCAAAATATAATTAACTCTGGTTATCCAATGGAGAGATTTTGTCATATAGGAGAGTGTCTCTTCAGCATGTGTAAACTGTACTTGTAAGACTCTATCCTTCCTTAGTCCTCTTCTTGCACCATATTATCCCGTTTGTTATCCAGGAGTCAGATTCTGGGTTTCTCACTGCAAACTATGTTCACAAATATTTAATTTTGGCTTTTTTTTGCCTTCACCCCCAGCGAAAGATATTTTCTCTCCTTTTCTTCACTTCTTTTCCTACTGAGTAGAATGGAAAAGAAAGCAAAAAAATAGGGAAGATTGAAAAGAAGAAAACTAGGAAAAAAAATCCTAGCAAAAATCAGTTTAAATACTTCTGTAGAAAACTGATACTATTTTTTTATTATGCTGGAGGAGGAGCTTGCTTCTTCTTTAGGGCTTTTTTGCTACCTTTTTATCACCTGAGGATGATCTTAAATGAAACTGTGAATAGCTGCTGTTCTCCATGCATGTAGAGCAAAGCTGTATTTGTAAATACATCCGTGAGATGTGGCTTCAGATCAGCCTTGTTTTAACCTGGAGGCTTACAAAAGCACAAAGCTCAGATGTTGTAAAATGACCCCTGTAGTCAGGCAACTACAAGTTTATGTATAAAGCAAAGTATGAACTTGTAAAGCATAGACTCAGTATCTGCTTGGCATGTGGTTTTCCCAGGTGAGCTGGGGGTTGGCCAGCTGTGGGACAGTATTGTGCTTTCCTAACCTTCTGCCCTTCTCAGGGCAAACAAAAAGCTCAGGTCTTGCCAGTAAGCTCATTAACTATGTCATAAAATAAAGTCCCATTTACAACATATGGTGCTGATGTCCTCCAGGCACCTTTTGAATATAAAACTCATGTTCATTTTATTCAGCAACATTGTAAATTCACTCTTCATCAGTGAGGAGTTCCTTATATCTAGTGGGATATTTTGGGCATTACTGTGGGCCCTGTGTGCTCCCTTTCCATGTTATTTTAACGATAGCCTTAAAAACAAAAACCAAATCCCAGACAAAAACAAACCACAAAAACTCTACAGGAATACAATTTGAAGCAAAATACATATGTGAATTAAGGCATGCTTTGATTATAAGCTGAATTGTTACAATAGCAGCAACATGTTCTCTGTAGCTATCTCCTGATGAAACAGCAATGGAGCTCCTGCAGCTGGGATGGAAGTGGAATCCCACGGGCTCCTTATCTCCTGTAGAGCAGGTGAGAAACATCAGCCAGGATTGGAAAGTCTGCTGGGATAAAAGGAGCCTGGTGGAACTTGTCTGCCCCTGCAACTGATATTAATGTGTGGTTTCTGCCACGAGAGGGCATAGGTAGCATTGGGATATATTATGGAAAGGGGAGGGATATGGGAAGAAGCTTTTTAGGATGCTTCATGAGTATAGTAGATTACTCCACCTGATACTGAACAGCTCAAATAAATACTTTTGTTCCCCTTACTGCTTCCAGCATGTTCAGGTAGGAAATAAGCCTTGGATGACAACTGCTCAAGCTGTCAGGGGGTAGGTTCTATCAGGTGGGATGTCCTTCCCCAGTGCTACATGTGTACAAAAGGAATAGTGAGTGTTTTATTCTTGTTTGAACAGGCAGAAGAACTCAGGGATACAAGTGCTGTTGTTATACTTTTGTTCCTGCTGGCAGGATCAGATATGCTCTTCTTAGAGTATAGTCAGGAATGCCCTTTTCTCTTGCAGTCTGCAGTGGAAAGAAGACACCAATATAAAAGAAAGATCCAGTGTCCCCTTCAGGTGTTGAACTGCCAGCTGTAAGGACCAGCAAGTCTTGCAGCTGTAGAAGTCACAGATGCTTTTAATGAGATGCCCTGTAAAAACATTGTGTTGCTGAAGATGCATTTCCTGCAGTTGTTTGCCGTGCTGGAACCAAATAAGGCTTTCTTTTGGTCTTAGTGAGGAATGTTGATGCTGTGGATGCAGAACATAGGAAGGCAGATGCTGTCATACTGTAAGAGGCAGCCAGTTGTCTTACGGTTATCATCTGCACTAGGTTTTGGGTTTTGGTTGTTTTGTTTTGATTTTTTTTTTTTTCTGATGCAGATGTATATTAGGCTCATTTCTTCCTGCCTTTTCTTCTTGTCTCTGTGCATGAGCAGCTACTTAAGGAGAGGATACAGTTTGTTAGAAACCTGGGTGAGGTGCAAAAATGCAAAAGGAGGTGGGCAGAGGCAGTGATGTTGCTGCTGTTTCTGTGCTCTGGGTGCTGGTTTACTCTGGAGAGGTGACACTGCAAACTGCCATGTAATTATCTCAAGATAATGTTCTATCTGTCAGCAACTCATTGTTTTAGCAGTAAATGAGTGGGAATGAGAACATGATCTGCTGGTGACCATGTTGTTGGGGGACTGTCTTTGCAAACCTCTGTGGCCACAATCTACTCCTTTATTGTCAATATTTTTCCCTGGCAATTTGCATAGAAAACAGTGTACTTCTTTATTTTCTAGTGTCTTAACATTTTATGGAATGTTAACCAAACTATATGACATAACTCTGATATGACTGCTTGACTGCTTTGATTCATGGACTGGTAATTAATCTATATAAGGGTACATGCACAAAACAAATTTTTATGCCAAGCTGGACTGACTGGACTTCCAAGTTGCTCTTTGTCACAGTTTGTGCCCATGATTGTCTGTGTTAATTTTTATTAGATTAGCTGTAACTCTTCATCATGGTTTTTTCAAATGGTGTTCTGACCACTACTGTGGCTAAAACTAAACCCAAGGCAGTTTAATGATCATGTCCTTTTCTCTTCCTGTTTTTCCCTCATTTCTTTTTCTGGCCTGTTAGCAATACAATAGGGGCCTATGGACACTTCCAACTAATTTTGTTTCCATGATCTAATGTTCACTTATGATGCCATGGCTTGAGGCAACATTACCTGGGATTTCCAGGTAGTTCTCTATCCAAGTCCTGCAGAGGCTAAAGGTTGTTTAGTTTCTAATCTAAGTAAGATCAAGGGTTTGCACCATGGATTGCCAGAGGCTTTATGTCTGCTTCCTCATCCAGTCACCTACATAGCATATATTTCTGTTCCAAACACATACTTCTCTTTTTCTTAAATTCTTAAGGTCCTAATTAAAAAAAAAAAAATCCCTTCAATTGCACATTTAGTATTATAAAGGACATCTATTAATGGAACGGTGAGTTCCTTATTGTTACGAGCAGAGCAATTCATATGCTCAAAATGAAATGTGCTCAGATGGTCTCCTGGCTTGGGACAGTCGAGTGGAAAGACAAACTCCTGTGTTTGCAGGCAGATGTGCTCTGTCTCCCGTCACAGCTCAGTAAAGTTTGATAAAGTTCAGAATGCAAAAGCTGCCAAACCAAATCCTCAGTCCTGTAGAACTGGTACTTTTGAGAGCTCAGGGAGTGGAGTGGGTGCTCTTTGATAGGTCCTGACCACACGGGCAGCTGTCTGGGAGGTGGTGAGTGCTGGGTGCTCCTCCTGTGCCGCCCATATTGCACTCCTACCATCTGTTAAAGGTGTTCCTAAGCATTTGTCATGTGCTGACTGCTGACAGATGGGCAGCAATTTGCCATTTATTCTTTCATTCACTTCAGTGTCTCTGTTCCTTGTTTTTCCATCTCCCCTTCCTCCCGCCCCAGAGCAAGGTGTTTCTGCCAAGAGGCTTAACTTGTTTTATGGCCTTGTCTAAAATGTTGAACTGTAATGTTGCCTCAGTTTTTTAGGAACAAAACTGTCTCATCACATTCCGTAGGTTTTTCTTCTCAGAAGTATGTGCCAAATATGAAATTACTCAGCTTTACAAGTGGTCACTAGTCTTCCTGATGTTGGTTGATGCAATTCATTGGTACTTTATTAAGACAAATATCATTATGCTAACGAAAGACCTAAATAAATGCAGTTTTGAAAATGCTGTAGAACTGTTATACTCCATAACTCTTCTATCCAGCCTGCTAAGGAGCCCATGGAAGAACACAAAATGCTGTTAGTTTTCAGTAATCAGGAAGAGCAATTGGGCAGCTGAATTTTGTTTTGATGGAGGAATTTTTAGATTTTTCTATCTGATAGTAAATATCATGTAAACAGTTCTGTTGGATTTGGTCACTACTTGTGCATAAGGTCTAGAACTGCATCTTTGTGGGTATAGTCTATTCTAGAACCACAAAAAAGCCCCTGGTGTCTTGGCCCTGTCACTGCAGTGCTTGCTGAAGTATTTAAGTCCAACTTAAAGAAAACATTCTTGGCCTTTTTTCCTCTTAATAAACTCAAAGCACATTTTTTACTTGAGAAAGTGGAAGGAAAAAAGACAGTATCTGACTTTTCTCTACAAGTCTTCAGTTTTTTTGCTCTTGTCTTGCTTTCTTGCCTGCCTGTACACTGCCCATGATTAGACAGTCTACAGACTGCCTCACAATATACCCATCTCAGTTTCAAATTGCGTGGAAGTAAGGCCCATTTGCATTTGCATTCTGTGACATGGTGACTACAAGCTTTAAGGTGGCATTTAATGTAGCCAATATTCATGGTAAACATGATGATATTTTAATCTCTGCATGTCCAAAATAATTCCTTTTTTTTTATTGTCATCAAATGTTTGCTGCTGATTCTGGAGTGCAAGAAGGTTTGCAGTGCATGAAAGCAAGCACAAGTGCAGTTTGTACTGCTTACCTTCAAAATTTAATCAGTTTGACAGAAAAGGTTTTTCTGGCTTTGTTTATAAATGAAATTTAGCTTTTGTCTGCACAGAAAATTCTCCTGGATAAGCTGAAGTGACAGTTAATGTACCAGTACAACTGCTTATTTTGTTGTCTTGCTTCTTTTCTGATAGCTTGTATGTCTTTTGGGTAGCTTTGACCCAATAAATGTGCATTGAACCATTTTACATTTACTGTTGTGGTGGAGGCATGTCCTTAGCCTTGAACAGCTGATAGGCTGCCAGTGTGTTAACTGATATGTACAGTGTTTAATCTTTCCTCTCTGCATCTCTCTGAGTACACAGACACGATTAAGATAGCATTTGGCAACTAGTCAGCTTTAATTGCGCATGGTGTATGCAGAATATGATTTTTTTAAATTTTTTGTTTTTTTTTTTTTTTTAGTCTTATCCTCTTACTGCAGGTTAAGCTGTACTTGCAGACAGTTAGTGCAACTTAGCTGCCTGATAATTAAGTGTTTAAACCACTGTAATTTCATCATGTGTGTGGTCCATCAGACACAAAGCATTCAAGCACCACCTAAAATAAATCGTCATTTAAGAGCGTCATGTAAGCTCAGTATAATTCAAACAAGTACAATCTGTGTGTATGAAGAGGAGATGTGGATGCTTTTAAGGAGCAGCATCTGCTTTATAAATATGAGCTATGAAAGGCTTCCAAATGTCCCCTCTGTTCATCAAATTTGAATGTGATCTTCTCTTAGGAAGCCATCTGGAGTAGGCAACGCTACAGGCGCTGCCTTGCTCTGTGCCATTGTCCTGTCTGTGCCTCAGAGTGACTTGTCTCACTACTGCACACTCAGTGATTGTTCCATGGGTTGTTTGAACTTCAGGTGTGTTGCTGAGCTTTGGCACATCATAAAAATAATCTGTCTCCAGTGTGCTTGTTTTGAGGGTTTTTTTTTTTTTTTTTTTTTCTATCTTCCCCATAGAAATATTGTGAAAGGAATGAGGAGTCTGCGAGAAATATTACGGACTGTAGAAACAAAAGCTACTCAGACCTTCAAAATGGTAAGAGAATGGGAGATGGGAGTGTGGGGCAGTCTGGTATGCAGGAATTCTCTTGATTGACCAGTGCTGTAGCACAAAACTCTATTTGTCCTCACTAGATTGATTGTTGGCTCTTTTTTTTTTTTTTTTTTTTTTTTTTTTTTTTTTTTTTTTTTTTTTTTTTTTTTTTTTTTTTTTTTTTTTTTTTTTGGAAGTGATATGTCAAGTGATCCCCTTAATTGAAAGACCTGCCCAGTTGAAACCTCTAGGCTTTCAGACCTGGGCATATAGGTTACTTTTATTGGGTTTGTGTTTTGTTTTTTGATTGTTTGTTTTGTTTCTTGGTTTCAGTGCATTTTCTAGCTTCATGGAAACAGAGATGTTATTAGTTTGGCAGTGCTGTCCTCAAGTGATGCTGTCTTGTTTTCTTTCTCAATTTCAGTGTGCATGCACACCTTTCTGCATTTGCATGTAGAAGCATTAAGTAGTTGTGTCTCTTGCAACAAGCAGTGCTTTTTTTAGACTGACATCTTCCAGTTTTCCTTCTGTAAACCCCTCTTCAATACAGTACAGAGTGATTTTAATTGTTTTAAAATTTTCTTATTGGTGTTGGCACTCTGCATCTTTGTATCCTTTTATCCTGAATGTCTCAGGTAAATAAATGTTTATGTGCCTGTTTAATTTCTTGGACCTTCAGCTGGTTCTTCCCTGTCTCCCTTTGGAGAGATTTGCCCTGAAGTTGCTCAGGAGGTGACTAGGTCAACAGCTTGCAGAATAACAGTCTTGGGAATGAAAGCTTTGCAGCCCTGAAAGCATTGATACTCTTACAGCTAAACTTGTACTTGATTCTGCTTTGTGTTTTGTGTCATTCCAGAGAAGTTGGACAGGGGAGGTGGGCATGGGTTTGTGTAGCATTTTTGAGAATAAGATGCCTGTGGAAGCTTGTGCAGCAAATTAGAAGAGATGACTTAAGTGCCCACTCAAATGGTTGCGTCTTTTTCCAAACTGAGATCAGGGTTCAGCAGTATTTTTGTGCTCGCCTGTTTTATCATTTTGCTGAAATGAGTCTAACCATCTGCTGCTCCTAGACTGTGACAGAACACAGCTCAATTTCTCCTGTCCCTGTGCAACTGGGGACAGCTGTACAGCACCCCTGGGGGATTTATCCCTTAGGGGGACTCTCAGGGTGCTCATTCAATAGCTTTCCCGAGATTTAGAAGTTGCATTTTCATTTTCTTATTTGTTTTTAAAGAGCCATCAAGAAGGCAAAGGGAGGATTGTGCTTAATTAAACAAGTTTTTCAAGCATGAAAGTAAAACACATGATTTTTTTCCCCCCCTTATTTGTGGGATCACAGTGTTCTTCAAGCATAATGATGCTTTTTTTAGCCAAAGGCAGTAATAACATAAATCAGAGTCTTGGCCTGTTCTGGTTTGTTTGGTCTTATTCAAAACAAGAGTGAAGCTAATTTACACAGCTACTGTACTGTGTGTTAAAATTAAAGACACTACAAGTATTTGTTGCTTGCCTTCTGAATGGCTTACCACAAACTATACTCCTACTTGTGTGTGAACCAGTAGAAATCTTTGTATTGCTGGCAAATTATTTTCCCTCCCCTGTAAGACTGTAGGAGAAAAGTATAGGAGAGTTGACTCCTCAGGGTAGAACTGACTAAATAATTACACACTGAGATGATAATATGATACTGGCTAATGTTGCAGGGCCCTAGGCCATTTTGCTCATAGTTACTTGCTATAAAAAGCATAGAAAAGCTTAGTTAGAAACAGACAGCTTTCTGTAACTCCTCAGTAGCAGGGCAGGGAAGGTCTTGGGGTTTCCAGGGAGTTGTACGTGGTGGCATTTCTTTGAGACACCATGGTACACACAGACCACTGCCATCTGTGAAGCCTCCCTTTGTGATGTTTAAGAGGTGGTACTGTGGTTGCATTTTAGAGTAATTCATTGAATTCATGTGTGGTAAGGGGGGTGAAAATCAGGAGCCTTGCATCAAAACAAGTTATTTTACTGAAATTGGCAATAGGAACTTTTAGCTAAGTGTGGTTTATTTGATCCCATAGATTTTGAACTATAATATCTATAACATACTTTACTGATATTTAAAAGAAAATTACTGTTGGTGGGCTCATAACATAGCTCAAAGTGTGCATTTCATATAAAATACATATCCAGTAATGAGAGAAGTTGCAAAATACTATTTGCAAATATTAGGACAGAAGGGCTCAAGTTTCAGCCTGCCCTCTGTGCAGGATTTACTTTATAGCATACAGCTGTGTGCTGCTTAGAATTCACAGAGGACACCACCCATTGTGATGTCTCTGAGCTTGTTTGCAGGCTTATCTATGTACAGTGCAAGAAATTTAGAGATTTGATGGGTATCAGACAAGGGTAAATGCCAAAGATAGTTTTGCTAAGTGAAGTTAACTTGCCTCCTTTTGGGCCCATCTTGCCAGCTGTGTGCATGAAGTGGAAAGCAACTATTTAAGAGTCTTTGGCTGCTTGATGGTAAAAAAAGTACATGTGATGTTGCTGTCTCACTATGAAGTTCCTAAGCATCTTCTCTCTCTCCTTTACTGCAACAGGAAGAGAGAAGCCGTACCAAGATGAAACTATAAAAGTCTATAAGGGAGAGTGACATTAACAGATAAAAGGTTGATCTTTTAAAGCTAACACAAAAGTCTCCCCTGGTCTTGAGACTTGTATACCAAATTCTGATGCTGAGAACATAATGTTGTCATCCTACTCCTATGTAGTAACTATTGTGAGATTGTCTCAGCAGTCCCTGTGGCAATTGGTTGTCCTTGTTCACCAAAGCATCCCTTGTGCTAGGCCTCTTTGAGAACTTTTTTCCTAGAGCATTGCAACAGGACCATGGAAATGCAGAAGTTTGGTCTTTTCTCAGGAGGGAAGAAACTGACCCTTTTGTAGACCTTAGCAGCTGATTTTGCTACTCCAGCTTTCTGAAGAGTGGTATTGTCACACTGGTACATCTCCTTCCCAAGGTGGAACATGGTGAGGGGTGAATCTTTTGTGTTGGAAAAGGTTTCACTGATTTGTCTTTTTCTGTACTGATCTCTAGACTGCAGCCAAACAGTTAGCCCAAGTACTTCTCCATTCCCTCAGTGAAGATTGTTACTGGAGCCCTTTATCTGATCCACTTCCTGAGTTTATGAACAAGGAATATCAGTCTTATGTTAGCAATCTTCTTTGTCGGAGGCCTGAGTTGTACTCAGAAGAGAAGTAAGTGTTATTTTTATTTCAGTTTATTAGAAGGAGGAAGGAGTATATTTGAACACTTTTCAGTACTGCTGAGTATGTCACTGATCCATGTAGTAGTTTTGTGCCTTCTTGTTTTTCAACTTCCCACTAAAAAGTCTGCTGAAAAAATAAAACTATTAAACTTTGAGTATTTTTTTTTCCTCCCCACCCAGCAAGAAGAAAGTCCAACCAGAGGGTTGTCTTTGCTATGAAATTGAAATAATCTATTTAGGGTTTAGTATAGCTCATGTAAGATACATTGCAGAGCTTTTAATTTGTGAACCTGCAAAGAAAGTATTGCCTAGCAAATGAATTATGCATGAGATGTTTCAAATTACTGCTTCTCTTGTGGAATGAGAAAGAGGTTGGCAGGATAACTCTTGATCTTCCTCAGAAAAATGTGTTCTGTCTTTCAGTGTCTACTGCCCTCAAGACAATGTAGAAGAGGCTCTTCTCCTCCTCCTAATCAGTGAATCCATGGTAAGCCAAAAATGAGTTTGTAGTATTAACAGTGGAAAGGGATATCTAACATTTCCAGGTCTCCTGGTTGGCTTTGTTTACAGAATCTTCCCCAGATAAACAGAAGCAAAGGTTCAGATGCTGAGTGGAAAATGGTATCTATTCTTTTATTAGTGAAACCACTTTTATTAAGTGGAATTTTGGTGAAGAGTTTTGACAATTGTCAAGAAGAAAAATTGACTGCATTCATCATAGCTGTATGCAGGTTCTGATGTCCAGATACATTGTCAGTGAACAGATGTTTCCATTTGTAACATCTGTGTGGATTTATGGATCAAGAATGAGAGGAAGAGAGCCTTGCCTAAAGCCAGGCATGATGGTGGTAACTGCTGTTTGGAATTGCAGGATGCTGTACTCTGCTTTCATGCCTTAGTCTGCAGTTGTTTTTTTCAGTCTGGAGTGATCTTTGACAGTTTCTGGTGCAGTGATACGGGAAATCTTGTGACATGCAGAAGCATTCATTATAACCTACAGTGAAATAATTAGATTTCTTCTATTTGTAACATTGGTGGCTTTAAAAAATCCATTTAAGAGGCAGGCAGAAAATTGGAGGAAAGATAACTGCATGGTGATCTTTGGTAATTTTAATGTTCTGAGAAGATGCAAATGCACAGAAAACATGTTAGAAATGTTTTCTGAAAATGTGTAAGTAACGTGTATTTTGCTTTCAGTGCAGGGTGGTCACTTGTACCTCAAAGTGAGATTCAAAGCCTTGGAACATATCAACCTTCTTAGAAAATTTTTAATAACTTTCAGACAAATTGAAAAACGATACTGTGGAAACTTTGGGTTTTTCTTCCTTCAGTTTTTCTTGTCTGGTTCTTCTGGCACAAGTTCTTTTCCTTTCCCACAGACTTCTTCAGAAGAGGGCAATTTAATATTGTTTGCTTTTAAAATTCAGGGAAAAATTGAAGAGGTGGAACCACCCCAAAATATTAAATCGACTTCAAAATCATGTACATCTGAGTGTTGCTATGTGCTTTCCAGTGCTTTCTAGATTAAACCTTTGCAGCACATCTGCTTTGTGTTTTCAGGGGATTTTCTTCAGTCAGGAGGGCTTTTCATAATTAGAAATGGAGAGGGCTTGTAGGATATCATATGCATTTCTATTAAAATCAGAAGTACTCATGTCAGTGGGGCTTGTCAAGGCTGATCCAAGAAGGAAGAGGACTGGGGTCTGGAGTAATGACAGAACTGGCTGCTCCAGCCTTTCTGGGACTGGACTTGCTGTTGGAGAGTCCATGAGGGACCTCAAACTGCACAATCTTGTTCTGCTGAGGAGGAGAAAGTTATCCCTATCTAATAGTGTGCAAAATGCTGAACTAACTGGTCCTGTGGCTAAGTTATGGATCAAGTAGTGTGAAAATGCTATTGATAGAAACAAGACTGCTGTGCCGAGTTCCAGGTTAAATAAGGAAGTTTGGTGTATGCTTAAATGCTGCTTCTGATATAGAGGAACTTCCTGAAGGAAGATGCAAGGCACTTTGATTTGCTCCATATAAAACAAAAGAAGATCCTGTAGCAGAGCACTGTAGGAGCCATGTAACTGTATTTCTGATTTTGGGGGAATGGAACATCTGAGCCTTCATCTTGCATCAGCCTTGCCACGAGTTTGTTCTAACTAAAATTCAGGACAAGTGTATAGAAATACACATAGAAATCACATGAATGTCCTTCCTAAGTGAAGGAACAGAGGGAGCAATCTAATTCTTACATATGTTTGTAATCCATAAATACTTTCCTGTACATTTTTATTATGGTACTTAGAAGGGGAAATTTTAACTTATGACATGACATGTTTCCATAACAGCATTGCTGTAGGCTAGTGAGTTTTCTCATGTACAAGTTTGTTGTTTGTTTGAAGTTTTGGTTTTTAGTTTAATGTATTCTTTTTTCTTTAAAAAACAATTTATGTAAGCTCATGAAATGATCTAACAGGAAGCAGATTTCTAATTGAGGTCTCTCCCTAATGATACAATGTTAACAACTGAATAAAACATACTTTGCTTTCTGGAGAGAATGTCAATGGCAAGTGATAATGATGCTTCTGTAGGCCAGTGAACAACACAGTTGATGTTCCTGGATTTTGGTTGGATTAGGTGTTCTTCCAGTATTTGCAATTGTGAACCCCTTCAAATGAAACAGAGGTATGCAATTACATTGGCTTCTCTTATGTTTCGGTCTGTCAGAGCAAAACTGACCAGAAAGGTGGTACTTCTCTCTGATTTTTAAAGAGATAAAGAGCAGTCAGGGCATTGTAACTCTCTTGCAGGACTGTAAAGCCAAACAACTTCTTCACAAACCTGTTCCTGACTCCAGCTGCTCCAAAATGACCTTAAATAAGGACAGAATTAGAGGAAGGAGGCACAGAAAAAAAATTCAGCTTGTGGAGGGGACACAGAGCAAAGGTGAACTGGGGAGGAGCATAAATCATCAGAGGACCTCTAAGTAAATATGTGCTGAAAATGAGACGTGGTACTTTTTCAAGAAGTATACACCTGGAACACCTTTGCTGCTAAAATACACTTCGTTTTTATGTTTGACTTGCCTTCCTAAGGTGAAGCTGACATCTACTTTGTCATGACCTGTGTGACTTCCAAGAAGATCTTATGGGGGAATAGAATTTTTCCTGTGATGGAGAAAGCAAGTAATTGCCTTGAAATTCTTGAGAGCTAGAGCCTATTTCTCACCAAACCTTCTCTGGCTCTTAATGGCAGAGGCTTCTGGCTTGTGATTATTTATCCCTTTCCCTTGCATGGCAAGGGAGTCAGTTTGCATAATCTGGTGGGATGAAATGAGATTATATTTTAAAGGGGCAATTAACAGTTCCTTCAATATTTTACTCTGCCTATGGGCCTAAGAATATAAAAGGTTTTCAAATGGCCAAGTAACGTAGTATCCTTTTTCATGGTTCTCAAGATGCTTCTGTGGATATATTAACGCTTTCAGTGAAAGCTTGTAGCCTGCTTTGCCCTGGCATTCTCACAAATTGCCTCCTGTGCTCTTTATGTCCTGTTAAAAAAGGGAGCCTATTTTCATAACTGAAGTATCTCAGTAAACAATGAAAAGCATCCTGGTTGTTGAGCTTGGCAAATGTTCCTTCTCTGTGCCAGCTGTTATTTAGTCACAGCCTTTGGCCATAGAGTTCTCATGAAGGAATCTAGTGAAACAAATCAGGCAGCCTGAAGATTGCCACAGTCAAGGCTGTCTTTATGAGTGTTTGTGGCCTCCTGGCTACTCTGTCATTTCTTTTGTATAGCCTAAGTTGTGGTATGGATGGGCTGTGTTTCTGAGGGGATAGAAATGCTCTCCTTCAGACCAAGAAGGCCAGCTGGTGACAGCCTCTACAAGCTCAGGCTATGGCAGAATGATGTGTTCCTATTCACATCTTGGAGAAACATGGACTTGCCTCTTTTTAAACCTCTAGTCCTCTCTCTTACTGCATTTAACCCGCCTAAACCAGTGGCACTGTTTGTGAGAACTGAGGACATATTGTCACTTGGTGCAGTGTGATTTTTCTGCTTCACCTACCAATGGGAACAGGACTGGTTCTGCCATCAGGGACTTTGGTGCTTTGAGCTGCAGGGTGTAGACAGAGGAGGTTTGGCATGACTAACTCTTAGCTGCAGTTTTGTTTATTTTAATAGCTATTCTCAAGAGTGTTCAGAGTTGACTGCACTGCCCTTAAAGTTAGCCAGAAGCTTCTCAGAACCAGGAATGGAACACTTAGTATTACTTTTTGTGTTTACTTTTGAGGTTAAAAAAGAAAGAAAAAGTTCTTTATTTGCATTTAGAAACCTTCCCTTCTTGAATCTGAGGTCAAACATACAGTCTGAAACACCTTTATTCAATGCTGGCAATGCTGGCTGTTACAACTGGGGATTTTGACTGGATGTGGTCCACCAAACAAACCAGGTAACATGGTTTATTTTATTTTTTTTTGTTCTGTATTCATTCATACTGGAAATGCAGCTCCTTTTATCCAAAACTAATAAATTCAGTGCCTGTGTAACAAAGATTAGAAATGTCATCCACGTCTTATCTCCGATTTGAATCCCTGAAGGCAGTTTGACCTTGGAGGGCCTGAGAGCATGGAACAGATGGTGAGGGGGAAGGAAGATACTGGAACTTGTCCTGTTCTTTTTATTGGTGAGAACAAACTCATGGCTGAGAGCATGCCTTTAACAGAATAACTTTAAACCCATGTATTTTTAAACACAGAAATAAATAAAACCTGTTAGCTCTTCAGTTCCTATTTTATAAAATAACGCTGTCCAGCAAATGAGCTGGTGAAGAAGAATCGCTTGTTGCTTTTGTAGGTTGGTTTTTCCTTTTTTTTTTTTTTTTTTACAGTGATGCTACAACAGCTGGACGACCATTGTGACTGTTTTACTGAAGGCCATTGGACTATGGCAGCTGAGAGAGACAACTGGAGGCAGGGTTGCCTGCTCTGTTGGTTCCTACCAAATCACAGTTGTGCACTTGCAGTAGCAAATCTGGCTGTCTCTTTACTGGTTTGCAAGGCAAAGCTATGTGTTTGGGACCTGTAAAAATGGACTGCAGAATGTTTCTAGTGGGAAATACACTACCTCTGCTAATTGCCTCTTGAATAAATGGTTCTAATGTGAGTTGCTAGAGAACAGGGTGTGAGAGCCTTTTTTCTTCTGCTTTGCAGTAGTAAGTCTTGTTTCTAAACTTACAAGGAAGATGTAAATTCTTGGAAGAAAGCTTTCTAAATCCAGATAACTGTTGGCAAATGGATGACTTTGTTACCCAAGATAATACCCACAAACAAACTTGCTTACTTTCTGCTTCTCTGCCTTTCTTTTGTATAGGGTTGTTTGGCTGTTTTGGATGGGGGCATATGTCTGTCTTGCTTTTAGTGATATTTCCAGAATTAGTTCTGCTACAGGGTGGTAGAATGCACCTGAAACATGTAGCATAGATATATGTGGTCATATTTAATATGTAATTATAAGTGGCTGTTTTGATGAATTGATATCTGAATTGGGCACCAGTAACTTGTGGTCTGTTGCTTACCAGAAATGAGACAGATGGCATGTGGTTCACAGGGGGGTAAGTTTTCATTTGCTGTGCTTCTGGCCTGAAGTGCAATGAGTTGTAGTATCTCTCTGAGAGGAGTTTTGAGAGTTCCTGGGGCAAGGTTTGTCCTCCCTGTTCTACCCACATGTCATTTTCACAGCAGCTGTGCAGTCAACCCTTAATATTTACTTTGTCTATGTTAGTGAGGGAAACCTTCAGGTGCTGTCTAGAGATGAGCAATAACTTAGGCAGAAAGTCTGTAGCCTCTTGCATTGAACAGGTTCTTGCCATTGTGAAGGATTAATTTATTTTGTTGGCAGTAGAGGCAAAACAGCCAGAAGGGAGACCCAAAGGATATAGGCTAAATATTCCCCAGCTCTTAGCAGAAAAGGCATCAATTGCATGATTTCAAAGGCCTGTTGTCAATCTTACACACAACGGCATTTGTTTTTCTCTCTTAATGGTAGTATTGAATCACACCAATTACATTATTACAGTACATTGTGTAAAACATGCTGCTGTTCTGTATAGATGGGTTGCAGTGGATCTGGCAATTATGTCTATTATGAAAAGACACAAGTTGAACATTCGAATGCCCATGATTAGGGGGCAGGCAGCAGGCACTCATTAAAGATTTTAATTGCTTTCTTTTTCTTCTTTGGAAAAAAGCAGGGGAAGCCATGTTTCAAAGTGAGCAATTAAAGTATACTTCATAGCTAATTGCTGTGAGAAGGGACTGCTACATGGAATATACTCTATTGTAATTCATATGATTACTTGACGTTTTATTAAGAAGCACATCTTTGTACTGTGGTAAATTTAATTTTCTGCAGTGTAACTGTGTGCGTAATAACTGCTGAAGTAATGGCTGTTTGGATTTGCTGTGGCTCTTTTCCTTCCTTCCTGAAATAAACAAGCCATAAATAAGCATCATTGATGTACAGCAAATCCTCTGTGGATGGGTGCTTATCTAGTTTGCAGGTAAGTGTACTGTGTGTGTGGATGGGCAGGTCCAAGACTCAGCACTGTGGGTGCTCAGAAAGGCAGAGCTGTTCCCTACAGTGGCATTGCTGTGTTTTGGAGCTAGACTGAAAAGCCCTGCTGACCCCCAGGGTCTGTGCCCTGTCAGGTTCAGAGACACCACAGTGAGCTGGAGCCCCATGGGCTGTGTCACTGGGCTGTGGAAAGGGAGGCTGAAGATGCTCAGTGGCCTAGGTCTGGGCTGACTGCAAAATGTGTCCAGTCTCCCCATATAGGACTGGTGTCATGTCTGAACCACCACCTACATCCACAGCTAATTGTGCCCTATGCATCCCAAAATATCCCAAGTGTGATGCATCTCTGGGTTGCTCAATTACCTTGGAATACTTTAAAAAAAAGGGGCATTGACTGTATAGTTTTGCCTTTATAATGTAAATGATGCTAATTCCCAGTAGTGAAACTTGTGTTGGCAGCACTGTTGACCTTCTCCATCCCACAAAACAGCCTTGAACAGAGCTTCTCTGGGTGTGGCTTTCAGTCTCTCTTCATCTTGCTTGTATGCTGTGAGGCATGTCTCTGTGACAATGGGAACAGCTTAAAGGAAATAGTCATAGTGGGGGTGTTGAAAATATATTTGTAGCTATGTTTTACTGCTGCTAATAATAGGGAGGAAATAATGCAGTAGGACAAATTGAAGTTGCTGCTTAGGTTTGGGATACACTGCTTGAGACCAGTGTTGTACAAATAACCCTTTTTCCAATTGTTTTCAGGAAAATTAGTGGTCTGAAACAAAAGAAAACACAGGTATTTAAAAAACAGTGTTAATAGCTTAGAATTTTGCATTCTCAAATGCAAAATGAAGTGTCACTCTGTGTACAGTTCACTCAGTAAAATTCCCCATCCCACAGAACAGGTGTATTCTTTATTGCAGTAACTCTGCAACTGTTTTGCCCTTGTACTTGCTGGTGGCTGTCAGAATTTCTTACTGAAAAATTAATATTTACAAAAACATAAACAAGGCAAAAAAAACCAAAAAAAAGAGGTTGGTAATGATCTGAGGGACAGCAGCCTGCCTTCTGTGAGAGGCAGGCCATGGAGACATGCCAGTTTCCTGAGTGGGTTTCAGGAAATAGTGATTCATATTCCCTTCTCTGACCTCTGTATGTACATGGCACCTTGAGCCTTACTTAGGACAGTGATTTACCTTACTGTGTTAGGCACAATCCATATTCTTGCTACTGATCAGTCAGTTTTTTTATGAGGTTTGTACCTTTTGGTTTTGGGGTTTGTGGGATTTTTATGTCTCTACTATAATATGGCCTCTTGATTTATTTTTTTAGAGCAGCTGGAATTAGCAATTTGGAATAGGTTCAGTATTGAAGAAATTGTTGAGATAAAAGTAACAATGAATTTGCTAGTGGCAACTTTTATGCATGGAAGCATAGAGAGTGATAGATAGCAAAGACCTTCTATGGCTTTGACATTTAAAAGCTTGAACAAAATCAGCAGGTTTATGACCTTCTTGGAGAGAATATTCATCATACCTATGCATATGTTGCATTTAACTGCTGTCTGCTTGGGTAAAGTATGATATATACACTATACAATTTTAGAGTGTTGCATCCTTGTAATATGCCCTACATTCCTTCTTTTGCAGGATTGGGGTGTATTATTTATTCTAGTACCAGTATCTGTGGCAAAACATGATGGACAGTCATGAGTTTTGATTAATTTTATATCCCTGCTAATGTATCTACTTAAAAATTATAGCTTGGTACTTGATGGATATGCAAAAAAGCATTAGGCTGTAGCTGACTGTAATGGGAGGTTGTTGATGAGATGACAGAGCATGGGGGTGCTATCTCAGCAGCTGTTTGCTACAAACAATTGTCATAACAATGTAACCAGTGCAGAAAAAACAGTTAATTGTGTGTATGTGGGAGGATTCACTTGGCAATAAGGATCATACAGTATATGGCTTTACTTAACTCCTTTTTCCCTTTTAAAGTGATAGTCTTATGTTAAATCCAAACAGAGCTTAAACATGTATTCATTTTTTTTTTTTTATTTCTGCCAATAAAGATAGACAAGCTATGCCTCTGTACTCTTGCAGAATTTTGAAAGTAATTTTCATTCTGTTGTGCATTCTGTTGTTCTGAACTATTTTTTTTAATCACAAATTGCATCTTCTGCAGTAGCATGAAAAATAAAAATGCCTTTGTGGCTGCAGGAGTTGTTGTAAGTTTATTTGGGCAAACACTGGACTGGGTCTGATCTGTCAGCTTGCCTTTAACTGCAGTCACCATTTAGCTCTTGGTGGAGACTGTGTTAGTTGTCAGTAATTTTGTTTGCAGTCTCGGCTGGAGGTTGTGATGAAGAGTGCTTGGAACTGGGGCATTACACAGATCAAATCATGATGAAACAGCTGCAGCTTAATCACAATGAAGTATGTGTGGGCTTTAAGGGCTGCATATTCTGGAAATTTTTATTATGTTTAATTCCCATGTTTAACCTTTTTTTGAAAAAAAAAATCTCCCCACAGTTAGAAAGAAATAGGTGTAAGATTATAGTTGTATTGTAAAATAAGTCTCATAACCTTCATGTTTCAAGGAGGGAACATTTTGTTTGCCTTTGCTCAAGGTGAAATTGCTGGCAATTTTCTTAATTTTTCTGATCTTTTAGATGTCTAGACTTGAGTGTCTGATGTTGCACCCCTTTCAGCTGAGGAGCCCAGGGCAGTGTGTCTGTGCTATCAGATGGTGCTCAGCACTGCCTCTCCCAGAGGCTGGGTAGTCTGGGTGAGGCTCTCTGTGTTTGGAAATCAGAGGGATTTTTCCGTTTACTCTGGAATTGTAATCTCCCTCTTTTTGCTCAGAAAAGCACGAAGGGCTGGGATTTGGAGATAAATCTGAGTCTGTAGCATGTGGTATTTTGGGACATCCTTGGAAATTGCTGAACTGATTGTTTCTGTCAAAAGTAATGCTTCTTCTTGATCTAGGCCCAGAAATGTACTGATAGATTAACAAAATTAAGACGTATTTTATATATTTGAAAAAGACCTATTCAGTATTGCATTGCTAAAATGTGTAATTGCTTTAAGTTGATGACAGGTGAATCTGATTACTTAGGCAACCTGTTCAAATTTAACAATAAAAGGTCGGTCACAAAAAAGAACAACAAGCATTGATGCTATTGTGAAGAAATCTAGTGTAGACATGGAAGACAAATTATCAACCTTGGAAAGAGTTATCATAGTTGCAGGCAATTGAAGTTATAAGGAAGATACTTTAAGAATGGCCTTGAATTTCTAATTAATTAGAAAATAAGGAAGATACTTTATGGATGGCCTTGAATTTCTAATTATTGAGGAAATAGGATCTGGTAGATCTGTTCCATAATGTTCTAATTCTGTGACAGAAATCCAGATAAGATATGTGTAGCAGTTTCTTCCTGTAGATACAGTTATCTTCTTGAGCTTCCTTCAGGTAGGTAGAAAGCACCTCTGTGGAAACACCTTCCTTATGTTGGCATAAACTTTTAAAAGAAAAAAACAAGTGAGATTATTTTAAACAAAATGCTATGCGTGTTGGGTGCAGCTTCCTATGGAGGAGTCAGTTGTGTTTTTCTCTCTTGGATTCTGATGCCTCACTTGTGTGTGTGCCAGGCAAACCGGGATGCAGTGATCAGCCGAGCCCCAGAGCAGCAGGATGACCGAGCCATCAGCCTCCGGGATGCTTCTGCAGTCTACGACCTCCTGAGCATCACGCTGGGCAGAAGAGGGCAGTATGTGATGCTGTCTGAGGTACCTCCCCCGGCCTCTGCCCCTCCAAACACTCTGGAAAAAACTTCTCTTTGTGGTGGCTTGTCGGGGAAGGTGAAAATGGAGTGTGCTAGTTAGCAATCAGCAGAAACAGCTACAGAGCTGTGACTGCCCAGGCCAGAAATGCACACAGAATTGTTTGAGACATTAATTTGTATGTAGGCACTTGAACGAAGTATCTCCCTTTTGAAGTGATGGTGTACGCTAGCAAGTCCCATTAGCTGAGAAGTGTAAATGGTGTCATTAAAAAGAAAAAATCACTTGGGTCTCCAGGGCCACAACAGATTGTTTCCTGACCCAAGCAGCAGTCTCGACAAAAGGTGTAAGGAAGAAAATAAATAAAGTCTAATATTCGTTTTGCAATTCCTTTCTCAGTGCTTGGAGAGAGCCATGAAGTTTGCATTTGATGAATTTCACCTCTGGTACCAGCTTGCCCTGTCCATGGTAGCTTGTGGAAAGGTAAGGTTCAAACGAAAGGGCCCAGAAAGGACCCTTTTTCTTCTGAAAGAGTGGATCTGGATTACTTGTTTGAATGTGTCATGTGTGTTTTGGGACTAGATGCCAGCAGGTAGGTCTGTGAAAGGACAGTGCTCTCCTTTTAGTCTCTGATTGCACTTTGTGATGAGGGTTGTGTGTTTGGTATTGAGTACTGTTCTTTCTGTGTAGTGTTCTTTTCTCATTACCAAGGAGAAAAATGGATTTTGTGCATAGCTGTGGGTTGAAAAGCATTATACAGCTGTCCATTGTCTGCAGGTTCAACATAAATGGACTTAGTATAAGAAAGAACTAATATCTAAAACTGCCATCAGTTCACTCTGTGTCTGGGCAGTTGACTTAAGCTGTGGTTTTTCCAGCCATTAAAGGAAATGTAATTTTTTTTTTTGTAGAGAGCTTGTAATGTTTAATGTTTTAAACCTTAATATTTTAAATCTTTATCCATATTTATATGAAGTGCTTGGTGCAAAATATACTCTAGAAAAAGAAACAATGGGAATGTTGGCATGGTCATGTGTTTCAGCATAAGTGTTTTTTTAAAATTAGTGTGGTGTTTGTGAAAGTCATTAGTAAACCACTGAGATGGCTGGAATGTGGTTATGAAAAGTAGGCAAAGATAACAGGAGCTTTTCTTTATCAGTCTTAAAAGAGTGGACTTCCTGTAGGAAATGTAGATGGTACGAAATGTAGCCAGTTTATTTTAGAGTCCCCACCAACACGTTTGGGAGGTATGAGCAAATTGATGCTGTGCAGTAGTAAACCACTTAATATTGTCCTATATTCTGTGCTCCTGGAGTGTACAGGAATCCATGTGGATCTGAGTGGAGACCACCAGCTAGCACTCATTTGCCAAATTCCAGCTACTACTGGTCTTTTATGGCTATGAGCTGAGCTGGAAACAGCGGCCTTGGCATGGAAATAAGGCACGAATCTGTGCTTTTGCAGAGAAATTGTCTTGTGAGGTATAAGTGGCTGCAAAGCTTGGAAGTGGTCTGAAAGAATTCTTTCACTTCCATGAGCATGGGCAAAGCCTTATGTTGGAAGATGGTCTGGGGTTAAGCATTCTGCTTCCAAAACAGGGTAGAGCGATGAGAGAAAGTCTAATAAAGAGCATCAGATGTGACTAAGGGTATAGTAAGCAGTACTGTGGAAAGTCTGAAATGATTTTTTCACCTTAAAGGGTGAAAAAAAGTCTGAGAGAAGTTTTCAAGAGCTTTTAAGAGGAGGGGTTAGTCTTGTCTGTGGCGGTTAGGACAAGATGTGATGGCATCTTACTGCAACAACACAAGTTCATGTTTCTTATTAAGAGGCAAAAAATAAGGATAGCAGAACACTGGAAAAAGAGTGCCCTGTGGATTATATGGAGCCTAAATCAGTGGGGATCTGTGGAACACACCAGGCAAAGCTGTGGCGACCCCTCTGTGAGACACTAGGGGTGTCTCTCTGGGACCTTGCAAACTCTGACTCTGTTCTGGAACTCCAGAACATGGAGGCATTGTCCCCTTTTAAACATAACATATATGGCTGATTTATGAGATACCAAAGCTTTGACAATGCATTTTAGATCAGCAGGGAGCTCAACAGAGATCTTTAGTCAGAAAGAGCTTCACAGATTGCTACAGAAGTCCAGTGCAAGCATTTAAAAATCCAGTTCCAAGCTTGCAAACAGTGGCCAGACTCAATCATGAGTAAGGAAAGCTGAAGGTACTGGTGGAATCCTTAAACAATGAGCTTGGTGCCATGGTGCTAATACCTTGCACTGACCTATGTCAAGTGGGGCTTACATGTCATGTCCAGCTCACCTTGGAATTCAGCTGGGGTTAACACAGTCCTGCCCTCTGTGTCTTTGCAAATCCTTCAAGTACCTGCTTGAACTCTTGATACTGGACACAACAGTGATACACAGGCCATGATAGAAAGGCACAGAATCTTACCATGAACATGGGGTTTGTCTGGGAGTTCTGTAGGCTTTACAAGTTGTGTAACCTGGTTCTCAACAGCAGACAATGCTATAGCTCTAGTAATCTGCTGGGGAGCAAGTGAAGATTTTTAACTGTTGATGTTTGAGAGTGAGTGTATACAGAGAATAATTGTGCTTCAGTCTTTGGTTAGCATAGGTTAGCAGAAGTGGGGACTGATCTTTAGCTTTGAACAATTTGCATGGCAGTTCCATTCTTGTTCACTCTGTGTTTGCATACCTCTTCACCTTCCCTACGTGTTACAGAATATTTGTTACTTAGATATTTGTGTTGCTATTTTTTATTTTTATCTCTGTACTGTCCCTGTCTCTGTACTTTTCAGATTTTCAAGTACACCATGTCTTTTTGCCTGTACTTTAAATATTTACAAGGTAAAATATCCTGATCTTGCCTACTGATGTAAAAGTGCTAAATGTTCTGAGCCCTATATGGGTCAGAGGGAATTCCCTTACCCAACAATCCCATCTGTGCAGTATTTCACTTCTAATCCCAAAGTATTCCCTGAAGATTCCTGTCATATACTCTGCAATGCATCATCTTGCTAATGGGAGATGTGGCATACATTTTTATATTGCTTTGCAGCTTGATAGCAGGACAGAGTTCATTTACAAGCAAGTGCTCCAGTGTAGCAGAAGGAGCTGATGAGAAAACAGTGTGGCCAGTCTAGACTGCAAAATGCAGAGTGTACTTGAGCTTTTATAGGTGAAGATCTATTTTCACCTGTCTCAGTCACAGCCAATTCATGATCTCATTTCTTGGTAATGAAACCTCACATCCTGCAGCATTACTTGTTCTGCAGTACAGCAAATTGCACTCATAAATTCTGGGCACGACAGGAACAGTTTTATCAACCTGTAAATACTGGAAACTTTGGTTTCTCTTTTTTTTTTAAACATGTTTTTAGGATTTTCAATTCTGACCTTCTTAAAAGTGCCATAAAATCCTATCTTGCCCTCTCTTCTACAGTGAATTTGACTAGAGGTATGTTTAATTTGTATATTGAGATTAAGTCAATCAAGTCAGATTTCAGTGTAGCTTCTTCTTCTGCCAGCCAAAAAATTGCCAAGTGGTGATTGTCATTTTTCACAAGTGATCAGTCTGAATGTCAGGCCAGACACCTTGGCTCATTACCACACGTAGGCTTGAGTTTACACATTATTCTGAAAAGCATGTGTCTTAACAAAAATAGGCACATCACTTCAGTGAGTTCCTACAGGCCTTGGGGCTTCCTAAAACTGTAAATGAAAAAACTCAAGGAAGCATAACCTTTCTGTCTGTCTTTTATCCACTTAAGTGGTGGAAATAATGGAGTGGTAGCAATTTTACTTTCCTGTGTTTCTCAGAAACTTGCATCTTAAGAGAGATGGTGTGGTCTGGTTGTTTTTTAGCCCATTTTTAGGAATGCCTTTTATATTGAGCTCTATTCACTGAACAAGAGAGGGATGTATATCTAAATGACAAATCCCACCATTATATTTGAACTGCTTTTGTAGGCAAATTTAGATGGAAAAGGAAAGGAAGTGCTGGCAAAACCTAGACAATGGCAAAGATGTGGTGGGCGATGTCCTGTGTCACCAAGTGCAGTTCTGAATAGGACAGAGATGTTTAAAGCATTCTAATGCAACAGCTTTGTTCCTGTGGTGCTGAACGCCGAATTCTTCACAGATGCTTTGAGTTGCTTCTGCTGGTAATAACCTTGGCTGTGTGGTAATATCAGCTGGAGGCTGAGTGGGCACTGCAGCTCCCTGCGTGGCCAGGCTGGAGGCTGAGTGGCAAGTGGTGTAATAGCCTGGTGCCATCTGGCAGGGTCCTCGGGCAATGAGACGAGCCACTGTCCTGCTGCCAGGGTAAAACCAGCGCAGACACTTGCATCTGCTCGTCTCAAGATTTTGAAAAAGTGACCAGTACTGAGCAACATAAGGAAAGGAAGGACCAAACTCTCTTTCACGGCGTGGAAAAGACTTTGTAGTCTTCGTAGCAGAGGAGAGAGCTGCTTGGGGTAGATTTCTTCTCTGCTGCTGCTTTCCAGCTAATCAGTTTTCCCTGGAGGTCATGGAGGTTACCAGCACGTAGTTCTCCTGGAGACTAAGGTAGCTCTACTGACATTTCTGAACTTGGAGGCAAAATTATCATAGTGTCTAGATGATGTATTACAAGCACAAGGGATGTGTAATAGGGTCCTTGTGCACTCGCAAGCATTTCCTTGGCCTTGGATCAGTTGGATCAGTTACATACTCCTTTTTCAGGTTTCTGTCCCCTTCCACAACTACTACTCTCACACAGAGCCTAGCCTGGGTGTCCCAAAGTGTTGCTGGATCTCCCTGGGAGTAGAGAAGTGCATATAGTGAGTAGGCTCTAGCTTAAATTTATGGCACTTAAGATCTCCTAGATCTGCATTATGTGTGTTAAAACACATGCCTTGGACAACATGAAGCAACATTGATGCCTGTCTGCTGCCTACCACACAAGGAGACAAGATTTGTGTTTAGTGACAATAACTTGCCATTTTCATAATGGTAGTAAGGGAGGGATTCTTCAAGGATAGCAGTGAAATTATTCTGTGAACACTGAATTGAGTCTGTGTAGTCTAAAAGGGCTGGGTGCCCTAACTGAGCCATTCAACTCTCATGAAGCTTAATCTTTAAAGTACAGTGGATGTTTATTGTTGTTAGTGTATTCAATGCATGGAAACATTTTCATAGTCGTATTCAATGTCTCTGTCTGAAAAAAACCCCACAACACAACTTGGTTAGTGAGTGAAGAGCTTTAGGATGTGTGTTTCTTAAGAGGAGTGAGTAGTAATATGGCCTTAAGCCAGATGAAGGAAGGCTGGATTATCTGCTAGGAGAGGATAGTTTGCTTTCACCCCTCAGCTGTTTACTCACTGGAAGGCTGAAGTCCCTCGGGAGTGAGTAAAGGAAGATCTTGGGAACAGCTGAAGGGTCTGTGGGGAAAAACCTCTGTGAGATCTCAGTGGAGCTGGAA